AACCAAAGACCAATGAACTGCGAAAAGGATTTCAGCATCCCTCGTGATGAGGGGAAGTATCAGTTGAGCAACACCAGCTGTTGGTTAAGAATTGGGGTGATGAGAACCCTGATGTTTCTATCAATAATATAAATTAGTTCGACCACTTAGAGCAGTTGTCAAAACTAGTGAAGCCAGAGGTGCACACACCCCACGACCATGCCCTTTCCCTTTCCGGTGTGTGTCCTAGAGACACACTGGCACTTGTGCATGGCGTGTGTGGATGTGAACATTCAGTAAAGGACTGTGGACAGTAAAGAACAATTGCAGTCACTTGCTTCTGAAGGAGGATGGGATAAGCTAAGGAGGATACACAGTGTTTTAGTCACAAAATAGACTCATTCTTTTATGTTAACTATTATGTATTAGATCTATGCACATCAACTTGGATAAATCCCAAAGCAGTGCTAAAAAAAACCAACAGCAAGTTGCAAAGAGATGTATAAAGCAGATTGTCATTTATAAGATGTTTTTAAAGTGTTTTACAGGAAAAATATAGTTAAAATATGACAACATGAACAGGGAGGGTGCACTCAGGGCCCACGCTCCACAGCCTCGGGGTGACTTAGCCAGAGCGCGTCGGGCCCGTGTGCCCAGAGTGGTGTTCTCGTGGTGCGGGACGCTCCTCGCTGCGAGGCCTCTGCAGTCTGCTGTGGTAGCCCTCAGTTTGTCCATCGGAGCTGGGAAATTGCCTCAGTTATTTCTCTGATGATCTTTTCCCCTCAGTTTTTAAAGTGTGTTCCTTTCGGAAAGCCTCTTTTTTTTGTTATCTGACTTGGACTGATCTTCAAATACTGCTACCATTTTCCTTTCTCCTTGGCCTTTTCTACTTTGACTTCTTGAAGTTTATCTTCCTACCCTTGGTGAATGAAAAATGTCGCCTGTTGTGTCAGCAAACACAGGATGCTGCATCAGCCAGTGCCGCAGCCCCCGAAGGAGAGCCTCGGGGAACGCAGGATGGGGGCAGTCATGCCCACTGCCAGGCCCTCAGCCCCTGCAGCCGCCCCGATGGCGCACCCTGTGGGGACTCGGGACGGGACGGGGAAGATCAGGATCGCGGCCCGTGGTGGAGGAGGTGCACATCGAAGGACTGATTTCAGTGAGCCCAGACTCTTGCATCTTCCCATACATGGAGAAGCACCAAGTTCATTAACTTGGGATAACCTGGTTTTCTTTAATTAACAGTAGTCTTTTGATGTTCCGACTACCTGGTCTTTGTTGCAGAATCCCGTTTATCCTGGCTCCCCACTCCCCTCTTCAGAGCAGTCCCTCAGAGCTATCTGAGAGGCTGCCTCTGGGGCCTGAAGTCCTCAGAAGGTCCACCTAATAAAATATAGTTCTCAACTTTTAGGTTGTACTTTTTTTTTTCCAGTCGACACCTTCTATTTCTGTTACCATATTTTTAAATTTCCAAGAATTACTTTCTGTTCTCCAGATGTTCTGTTTGAATAGCAGCCTGTCACTGCTTCTGGAATGCCCTATTCGCTGCTCTC